ATCATCAGCACCATCTTGCTCCTAATTATCAGAGTTATCTTCAGCAGTCACGATGGTCACCATGATAACAGCATGCAACCGCTGAAGACTACCTGGTGCATGGTGCGACTAATCAAGAAGACACACTCGAGCTTAGATTTTCGAGACGCGCAGGGAAGCACCACAGACACACAACCAAGGACCACCAACCAACCGCCCCGACACCACCAACACGACGCCTCCAAGATACGACCAAGACACCATGAACACCTTGTATCAGCATGGAAGCGGCTGAGACACCACCGAGACACCACCTGGACACCATGAAGGCACCAATGAAACACTATCAAAAGAGCGCAGCGCGATGCAGACACCTTTCAGACGCTACCGCGAGACTACCAAGACATCACAGAGACACAACCGAGACACCACAAAAACACCACAGAGACACCATCGAGACATCGCCAAGACACCAGCGACACACCACCAAGAGACAACTCAGATACCACCAAGACACCACCGAGATCAGCGACAACACCAAGACACCAGCAAGACACCACCAAGAGACAACCCAGACACCACCAAGACACCACCAAGAGACAACCGAGACACAACCGAGACACCACTGAGACACCACCGAGGCAACAAATAGAGACACCAACTAGAGACAACCGAAACACCACCAAGACACCACCGAGACACCAACTATAGAGACACCACCGAGAGACAACCGAGACACCACCCAGAACACCACCGAGACACCACCGAGACACCGGCCACGCCGGCAGCTGGGAACCCGACGGCGCCCATCCGCCTTTAGAGTTAACAACCCCAAGCTATCGCTATTGGGGAAAAAAGGCCGGCTGTTTCACTTTACTTAAACGAATTACTAGGTTGAAAATTGGAAATTCAGAGATCGGGTCGGAGGATCGAAGTTCGGGCGGAGGCTCGCTTAGGGCGTAAATTTTGGCTCGCTTGGGGCGTAAAGTGGATACATCACCACCGTGTAGGGCTCAGTATGAAGGTGTCGTGGCTCTTCTTTCCGTAAGTGCAACAACATATAAACCCTAAAGGCGTCGTGGCCCAACAAGTAATAAACCCTAAAGGTGTCGAGGCTCTTCTTGCTTTAAGTGCAACAACATATAAGCCCTAAAGGTGTCGTGGCCCTTCTTTTTTTAAGTGCAACAAGATATAAACCCTAAAGGTGTCGTGGCTCTTCGTACATTAAGTGCAACAACATATAAACCCTGAAGGTGTCGTGGCTCTTCTTACATTCAGTGCAACAACATGTAAACCCTAAAGGTGTCGTAGCTCTTTCTATTTTAAGTGCAACAACATGTAAACCCAAAAGGTGTTGTGGCCCTTCTTAAATTAAGTGCAACAACATAACAATTCTAAAGGTGTCGTGGCTCTTCTTACATTATGTGCAACAACATAGCAACCCTAAAGGTGTCGTGGCTCTTCCTATCTTAAGTGCAACAACATGTAAACCCTAAGGGTGTCGTGGCTCTTCGTACATGAAGTGCAACAACGTATAAACCCTAAAGGTGTCGTGGCCCTTCTTTTTTGAAGTGCAACAACGTATAAACCGTGAAGGTGCCGTGGCTCTTCGTATTTTAAGTGCAATAACATATAAACCCCAAAGGTGTCGTGGCTCTTCTTACATTCAGTGCAACAACATACAAACCCTAAGGGTGTCGTGGCCCTTCTTATAATAAGTGCAACAACATATAAACCCTAAAGGTGTCGTGGCTCTTCTTATATTAACCACAACAACATATAAACCCTAAAGGTGCCGCGGCTTTCCTGACATTAAGTGTAACAACATACAAACCCTACGGGTGTCGTGGCCCTTCTTATATTAAGTGCAACAAGATATAAACCCTAAAGGTGTCGAGGCTCTTCGTACATTAAGTGCAACAACATATAAACCCTAAAGGTGTCGTGGCCCCTTTTTTTGTAAAGTGCAACAAGATACAAACCCTAAAGGTGTCGTGGAAGTTCTTATACCAAGTGCAAGATATAAAGCCTTACTTTTCCCTTGGTGCCCACAGTGATCCCATTTATGCAGAAAGTGAGTCATTTATGCCCAAAGTGGTCCCAGTTATGCCCCCAGTGAGCCCACTTATGCCCCAAGTGAGCCCATTATGCCCCAAGTGAGCCCACTATGCCCCAAGTCAGCCTATTTTATGCCCCAAGTGAACCTTAAGAAATTATGCCCCAAGTGAGCCCATTTTATGCCCAAAGTGAGCCTCTCGCCCAGTCCCTACCTAGAAAGGTATTCCCCGAAGGGTTCATGCCACCGTGACGAATCCAGCAGGGGTCACACACTTGCTCAGAACTGTCGTTGCGAATTCGGTTGTGGAGTGCATCTGACGTGCAAAAACACCAACAATTAAATGACAAGATGAATATACATTTGTATATATAGACGTATAATCATAGTAGACGTTGACCGTATAAAACAACAGTACAGTGATAAAATATATGTCCCCCCAGCTGCGACTTGTATGTGCCCAGGGGCGGGGCTATCTTATATCTAATATGCAGGTACAGGAATGTGCGTCCACATGCCCTTCCGGCTGAATCCCATAGCTTCGTTGGCATGGCTAGGGAAACAGCTGCCATGCCCCCTGCAACATAACGAAGTTTTACATCTCTACAGATGATACACACACACACTTGCTCAGAAACAACATTGCGAATTTTGTTTTGGAATGCATCACACGTGCACAAAACAATCCCTTACAAACTGCCAGGAAAAATTAGTTGATCCAGTGTGAATTTCAGTGCGAAGTAAACTTTCTACGTCCTTGCTCTGAGGAAGGTTCTGATGCAGCTGAACCATTCATACTTGATCGAAAGTAATTCCAGATTGCGACAACAGTGCAGGAAAGAAATGAAGATTGAGTCGACATGCCGGTACTTGGCTTAGCCGGTTGCCATTGACGACAAAATTGAAATAGCAGGTACGTGACTCCAGCGTCCCAGAGTCATATCAGTCATGAATGCAGCCCTCTTCGTTGGGCAATCAGCTGCAAACATGAGATTGCCCCCCTGCTTTATAAAGGATGTTTAGAAGTTTTACATCTTTTCAGATGGTCCACACACACACACACACGCCCTGCAGCAGCAGGGCAGATGAAAGGGAAATGAAAGTGAGATGACAATGAAAATTAGATGACGGTTACCTAACCGGGACACGAGACGGGGAACGCAAAAGAAAGGAAAAGGAGAAAACACCATCACCAACACATCTAGCCCAGAGCGGGCAAATCCTGAAAGGGCAAGGGAAAAGAAAAAGCAGACGGACGACGGACCAAACACCGACCAGAGAAGGGGGGGGCGGACAGAAGCGCCGGACACAACCTACAAGGCGAGAGCCAAACCTACCTCGGCACGCGAAGGACCCAAACCTGACTTACCACGGGAGCACACATGAAATAGGGGACCAATGGGGACCTAGCTAAGAACAATTGATGCATCCACAAAATCAATGCATAAGATCGTGATCAGGCTCAAAGGCCCTCGGTCGTCAAGTTAACCCTATAGATGGCTGTCAGTCGTCCCCAGCTGAATTACGTGCACAATTGAACCTCACTGGAGCAACCAAAAGAAAGTGACCACACCTGGAAGGCATGTACCTGCCTGTAACATCTTTCATGTTGCAAATGCTGAACAGTTTCTCGGGCATCACTGGAAAAAGGAGGTTGTCGCAGCTCAAGTCTACCAACCCTCGCAGTTCCTGTAACACGATGAGTCCCCAGCACAGCGGGCAGCTATTCAACACCACGACAGGCGACAGGTGAAACTATGAAAAAAGGCCGGGCGCTTCACTTTACTTAAAACGAATTACTAGGCTGAAAATTGCAAATTCAGAGATCAGGTCGGAGGATCGAAGTTCCTACCTAGAAAGGTATTCCCCGAAGGGTTCATGTTTCCGTGACGAATCCAGCATGGGTCACACACTTGCTCAGAACTGTCGTTGCGAATTCAGTTGTGGAGTGCATCTGACGTGCAAAAACACCAACAATTAAATGACAAGATGAATATACATTTGTAAAGATAGACGTATAATCATAGTAGACGTTGACCATATAACAACTCCAGTGCCCAATGTCGTCTTGCGATGCAAGAATCTGCTGAAAAATAGTTTGCGGCTGTTCGGAGCAGCTTCACTTGAGCAGGATTGAAGTTTCCCGGGGTGCAACACAAACGGCAGGATCAGCGAGACGAAAAGGCTGGTAAAAGCAAGGCCAACTGTTTCGCTTTACTTAAACGCATTACTGAATTAAAAATGTCAATTCGGAAGTCCAGTCTGTCAAAATTAACCCTAAAAAGAGTTGCCTCAAATGGCTCCATTGCGCCATTAGAGAAGAATTGGATCATTGTAGTGATCCGTTGGGAACTGAATCCCATAAACCTAAACCTAGACCCAACCTTGTATATATATATATAGATAGATAGGACAACGGTGGCCACCAGCTGCGACTTAAATGCGCCCAGGTGCACCACCGAAGTCTTGCGGGTACGTTTTTCACGGGTCCCGGCTGGGTGTCTTCGTTGGTCACCGACCCCCCAGGGACCCCGGTGACCCCCCGCTATATGAAAAAAAAAGTATCGCTGAAGTTTTACATCTACACAGATGTTACACACACACACACTCACTATATTGTCACACACAACTCTGTCACGCACCAACATTGTCACACACACAGAGCTGTCTCACTCAGGCCACCTACGCATGTATGCAACACGTGCACACACATTTGCCATCGCACTGTATTCTTTACCGATTCATCTTCCACCGCATCCATCTATCTTGCCCCTCCCTATCCAGTCCTTTAATTTTTGTTCATTGATGGGGCAAAAAATGCAAACGCAGCTGCCATCGATGGCAAGGATGCGGTCACCTTGGGCTCCAGTGCAAACCGTTTTATCACCTTCGGTTGTGTGTTCCCAGTGGTCCTAATTTGCGGTTCGGTTGAGATTCATGCCCTACATCCCAAATCAGATCCCAGAGGAGCCTACAGTGCTGGCGGGCCATGGACCAATGCGCAGGCGGGGCTCAGCCCAGCATCCGGAAACGAATTCTGGTTCTAGCAACGTGTAGCTACGCTCACGCCACCGTGAGGAGGATCTTTCACAGTAAGAGGTTGTGCAGAGCAGGTTGTTCTTTGGTGCTGCTGCGCTACTGTTAGGCTTGCTACGAAGTTTTGTTTTGTCTGTGGAATGGGATCATCCACCTGACGTCAACTTGATAGCCGAAGCATTGATGATAGCCTCTTCCGGCGTTGTGTCATGTCCAGGGTTGCCATGAGGTTTGATGAATTTACCTTACATGAACGATGTCTTTGCTTCTCATCCCTACCTTGGATGATGTTGACAGTGGTCGTGATGCCGTGTCATAAATTATTCCCGCGGAGGTTCAGGCCACCAACAGTTTCTGTATCTTTATGTTGTGTTACACAAGCGCCCGCGAAAAGCCGGAAGGTCAAGTACTGCTACGACCAGTATCTATCACTCAGTGCAAAAATTGCTCTGGACTGTGCTATGGATCCTCGACCTGTAAAGTCCAGCCACAGTAGTCCAAGCGGGGAGGGAATGAGTTTGCCTTCACCTTTCCATGTTTAAACGCGGAAACATTTTGAACAAAGAACGTTGGGCTCGTCGGTCAACGGTGTCATGCCCTTCCCGCGGCTGAGGGCAAGGTTCGTCAAGAACTCCCAGGCATTGAGTTTATCAACGTGGGCTACAAAGGTCCTGATGCTTGCAACACTCATCCAGCCATCTACATTCAGTCCAGCCACTTGCCAAGCAGAAAGCAGCTTGCTGGGTGTAAAGCGGAACATTGATTGGGTCTAGCAATTGCCTTCAAAAAGCCCGAATTTGTTTTTCGCAAAAACATCTGCGTCAACATGACGCCCAAAATTCGACCAGGCAGAACCAGGGATGACCTGGGCTCCGTTTTCATCTTCAGCCTTTGAGAACCAGATCGGGGCATGTCTGATTGCCACCAAGGGGGGACATCTTTTTTTTCAGTAGGCCGAGTCCATTTGCCCAGGCAACACGGGCTGTTGGGCAGACATTGGCATGCATCTTGGTTGCATGTTTGCCAGTGACTCTTGGGCTCAGGGTCAAGTGATTCAAGATTCTTCTTGTGTCTGACAAAGCCCAGGAGCATCGAGGACTTTACAGGCGCGTTACCCACAGCGGAGAGTGCCGAGTTCATGCGTAACATTTTTTTGAGGGCGTGGGCGCAAGTTTCTAGGCCACAGGCCTTTTCAGAAGCAACGCATCAATTCAGACTTTCTTGCTTCAAAGTGTATGGGTACGGTATCCTGGCACGGAAGCGGTTTTGTTTTCGAAAATCAATATACGAACAACACATGGATATTTTGACCCGTGACGTGGCCCCATGATGTCCCACACCGCTCCCTTATTTTCAATGTCGCTCCACATGCCAGGGAATCAGAAGCTGAACCTGGGGGTCCCGGGCTGCACCGATTGCGGCACCGCTATCCACGAGCTACTCCATAGCATGGGAATGGCCCATGAGCAATCGAGACCAGACCGGGATACCTTCGTGGAGATTAAGTGGGACAATATCATGAGCAGCATGTACAGCCAATTTGCCAAGGATCCACATGCTGACACCAGCGTGGACTATGATATTATGTCAATCATGCACGACGGAAGATTTCATTGGAGTAACAATGGGAAAGAAACCATTGTGGTGAAGGAGGCAGGGTACCGCCTTTACACCGATGATCCTGGACAACATCACAGATATGCGATCGGCCAACATATCATGATGACCCAGAACGATGTTCGGCAACTGGCGAAAATGTACAACTGCACGAGCAATACGATCTGTGGAACTGGACGGACAGACGTTCGAAACGTCAACAATGGAGCGCCTAGCGCATCAATTAAGGCATGCTCCGCCCAGCCACTTGTAGAAAATCTTGCTATGGTCGCGAAAAACCTTTATTTCAATGTGCTGTAATATGTAAACATCATAGCCTTTTTTGGAGGGGTAACACCCTGTACCTATCCTAATAGCTGTAACGACCGATAAAAGGATTTCTTTGTAATTTGGGCAAGCTGTGTTTTGAGCGTTTACCTTCGCATGAAAAATCGCGCTTTCTGGCGCTTTCCTCTGCGGGAAGATCGTGGTCTAGATCGTGCTCTCTGGTGTTCTCCTTCGCGCAAAAATTGTGCTTTTTGGTGCCCTCCTTCGTGCCAAGAATCGTTTATTTTTGGTGCTTTCCTTTGTGGAAAAATGGTCTAGATCGTGCTTTGTGGCGCTTTCCTCCGCGCAAAAGTCGTGCTTTTGGGTGCGGTCTAGACGGTGACCGCTTGTTACAGCTTTTAGGATAAACTCAACTCGTACCCCACTGCCCTGGATTTGGGGGGGTTAAGCCACCAACACGAAGAGAATAGAGTCGGAGTCCTCAGCTTTGCACTCCTTCCAATCGGATTTGTTTTCAACATCACGCGTCCCTGATTTGGCATTGTTGCGACGCAATGTGTGGTGCGTGAGGGTTCCACGCCGGTCTAGGGGCTTTGACTTAAGATGCATCAGACCTGTGTTATCCGTGGGTCAGGGCCAGACCGATATCTTTCACGGATATCAAAGACACTTGGTCGCAGACAGCGGTGATCCCCTAGCAAGCGACCATTTTAGGGACTGTGGGGAGGCTGATAGTTGTCGATGTGAAATAGCGCTAGTACTTCAGACGTGTCGGGGAAAGATTGCAGAACGAAAGACATTTATCATCACGTCGGATTTTGAAATATCAAAGAGTGACCAACAAGTTTGCACGTAAGTGCGGCGATTTTCCTTGCATGGTCCAATGGCCCAATGCAACAACAAGGGGATTCTCATTCACCAAGCCTGCAGACGGTCCATTTGAATGGACTTAAAAAGAATTTTACCACCTAATTGCAAGACGGAATGCCTTAAGTATCCAGCTTGCACAGCGGTACCTATGTGAAACGATTGTGAGCTCGTAGCGGCCCAAGAAATCATGTAATTTCAGACTTGCCATGCCATAATCTGTCAACGCCTACGCCTAATAACCAAATTGATCCACTAAAGAGAGTTGAATATTTCGACGCGATCCGCAAGCTTCCAATTTTTGATTTGCTGCTGCATGGACCTGCCCAGTGCAAGAATGCCTAAGGCGTAAGCTACGTGACTGCTGCAGCTTTTTCCTTGGTCGCCTCTTCTCTGGCTTGTTGCTGCTTCTGCTCCTTCTCTATCAGTCAGAGCAAGAATGAAGACTCAAGGCTGGAACTTTTTGGGTTACGTATTTTAGCAGGCTTTCCCGATGCAAGGCCCTCTTGCGGCGGCAGTCGGTTACAGCCTTCATTCATGATCCGGCACTTTTGATTGTTGGGGGATCGACTTTTGGATCTGCTGGTAGCGGGCTACAACTTCGAACTAAATTCGCACTCGGCGTTTAGTGCAGCCCCTGGTCACACTGGGGCGGAATTCCAATAGAAGAGCAGCGGCGCTCTTGTTACTGTCCAGTCAGAATTTGCGCGACTTCATGTTCCAGAAACGCTCGCAGATTGCGAAACAGTGCGTGCCAGTAAGATCTCGCCACAGTCGCGTGCGCGCGCGCGCGTATTCCAGCACTAGGTATCCAAGAGTTGTGGTGCTTTTCTTGTTCGCTTTAATCTCGCGCGTGTTTTTTGCCGCACCTTGTCCAGACCCTATCGGGGAAACGCAGAAACACAGACCTTCCCTCGGCGACCAAGACCAATAGGCGCACGAAGCTCAGAAATATTGTTTCAGGCTTCCTTCCAGACACTGGCCAAACCTTCCAGACACTGGCCAAAGCGTGCAAGATTGTGTGCTCCAGGGCCGCCAAACCTGCAAAAGCACTGTGTTTGGCATCCTTGCTGATTGCCACTTACCTCCAACGCATGGCTTAACCAGCCAACTGGGGACGCGTGCTCCTTGCAGGATGGACCGCTCCTACTTATCTAGTTATAACCTAGTTATAAGTAGGTTTTAACATGGTTTTAAGTAGATTAAGTTGGTTTTAAGTAGAATGTAAGTAGGTTAAGTAGCATTTGTACTTAGCTTACTTATAAGTAACTTGATCTTACTTATATGTAACTTATACCACTTGTTAAGTAGAAATAAGTAGAATTAAGTAGGTTTATCTTGCAGTAACATAAATAATATAAGTAACTTAGTTCTACTTAGTCCTACTTAGTTCTACTTGGTTCTACTTAGTTCTACTTATGTTCTACTTAATTCTACTTATCCTACTTATGCAAAAACATTTCCTTTGATGATATTCAGTTCCCCAGCAGAGTTTTTTCTTTGTTTTTCTAAAGATCAGCGGCAAGTTGCCTTGACTTGATTTACTTGAGTTTGTGCTTCGGCACATTTTTGTTCATTTTATGGATGTGGAGGTTAACATGAATGGAAAAGAGGCATGCTTGGAGACGTTTTCAGTTGATAATTCATGAGTTTGTTTCCGGTGAAACCTGGTTGAAAGTTAAAATATGTTGCAAATATATGATTATCCACATCTCGATTGAAAGTATTGATGTTGTATTTTTTGTATGTTTTGATGCTGCGTTTGCATTTGGAGCGGTGTGGCCGCTTTCGACATAGGAAATCATGTTGATTTATTTTTTGCGATATCATGGTGACATGACTGGCAGAGCGGTGTGTCCGCTAGATGTTACTTTCTTGCATTGTTTTGCATGTAGCGGTGTGCCCTTTTTTTTGGTTGCTGAATTGAGATATTGGAGGTTGAAACACCATGGATGTTGTATCGCTGTTTCGCTCTCGCCATGGCTGTAGTCTTGTCATTTTGTTGAAACTCATGAAGTTTGGACAAGATTTTCAGCACTTTGTTTGAAAACAATAGAATGTTGAACTGCCTTTGTTTGAAAACAATAGAATGTTGAACTGTTTGCAAACATAGAGCACTGCCCTGCGATGGCAACACTGATCTTTTTCTTCAAAGAATGGACGCAATCTTTCCAAAATCTTCGTCAGGACATTTATATGAAATGAGCAGTCTTGAAACATGAAACTGTATCGTATTAGATATAAGGCCAGACAGTTTAACTACAGATTCTTGAAGAATGGCTTTTCAAAGGTATATAAAAGGTATATATATATATATAAGGTATGGATAGAGTATAGATAGGGTATAGATAGGGCGAAGAAAAATACAAGAAAACGGACCAGGAGTATAGATAGGGTGGAGAAAAATACAAGAAAACGGACCAGGAGTATAGATAGGGTATAGATAGGGTATAGATAGGGCGAAGAAAAATACCAGAAAACGGACATGGAGTATAGATAGGGTATAGATAGTGTGAAGAAAGATACCAGAAAATGGACCGGGAGTATAGATAGGGTATAGATAGGGTATAGATAGGGAGAAGAAACATACAAGAAAACGGACATGGAGTATAGATAGGGTATAGATAGGGTATAGATAGGGCGAAGAAAAATACCAGAAAACCGACATGGAGTATAGATAGGGTATAGATAGGGTATAGATAGGGTGAAGAAACATACCAGAAAACGGACATGGAGAATAGATAAGATATACATAAGGTATGGACAAAGATTGACGAACAAAACATGCACAGATATAAAGCGGACACACCGCTATGGTTTTGTTCAAAGAAAAATCATGTTCAAGAAAAAGCGGCCACACCGCTGAGGTTTTGGTGTTTGAACAAAACATGCTCCAAAAAAAAACGGTCACACCGCTATGGTAAAGAAAAATCATGTTCAAAAAAAAGCTGCCACACCGCTGAGGTTTTGGTGTTTGAACAAAACAAGCTCAAAAAAAAGCGGTCACACCGCTATGGTTTTGTTTCGGAAAAAAAACATGTCGAAAGAACACACAACCATCCCCGAAACATGTTTGTTTGGTACAAAAGAATGCACCAAAACAAAAAGCGGCCACACCGCTAGTCATTTTATCTTATCTTCACAATAGACCAAAGTATGCTGGCGATGAATGAAAGGCGCTCTCATTGCCTCTCTTGCCACTGCTACTGCTATACTGTCAAAGCGGTGTGACCGCTCAAGTTGTTTTAGATCCAATGTATCGCATGTATTCCTTGTTGACACCTCTAGTCCCATAAACAACAAGGTTTTTTTTGCTTTCACAACACAACAGCGGTGTGGCCGCTCCGATCAAACACCTGTCCAAGCGGTGTGCCCGCTAGTGTTTAACGACAATAAGCTATTTGCCAACACAAAGAGCATGCCATGAATTGATTCCTACGTTAAATAACCCGTGGCGAACTCCAACGATATCATGATTCGACTACATGTGACAGCCATGTGCAAGCTTTCTGTGATGCAAATGACTATCATTGCATCTCAAAAAAGAAAAAAATGCTGAAAAACATTGTCTTTGAAAAAAAAACCTACTTATTGAAAAAACATCAATTTTGACCAAATTTACTTCATTCTACTTAATTCTACTTAATTCTACTTATAACCTACTTATTTCTACTTATGTTATGTATTACTTTTTAATTAACGCTAAGTAGGAAATAAGTAGTTCATAAGTAGGTTAAGTATATGCAAGTAGAAATAAGTAGTATAAGTAGATGTGGACCATCCTGTGAATCAAGCAGCTGAGCGACTGTGTTGGTGAGTGAAATATTTTGAGCGCCAATGAGTTTGGAAGGTTTTCATTTCACCAACAGTAAATACCCAGTTCTGCCACGCTGCTTCGGTACCAATTCTCCCTGCAAGGTCGTTGCTGCGAGAGCCTTAACCTTTGCCCCCGCCGTGTGCGTGGTTTTCAAAGATGACCGGGTGAGGCATTGTTGGATTTTCCATCCGCCAAGAGATGTTTACGAAAATGCACCTAGGTGCCCATGAGAATAGCGGCCTCAGTTTCACCCAGCGTTGCCCGGAAGATCTCTGGCAGCAGAATTTGCGTCGCCTGCCGGGGCAGTAAAAAAAAACAGGCGCACGTGCCAGAATTCATTTTGCATCCTTGCAGCTCTAGTTTTAACGCTTGGTATCTAGTTCCATGTATTGCTGCTTGCATCCAACAAAGTGAACCGGTCGCAGTTGGCGATCCTTTTAATTTCCAAATTTGAGCTTTAAACCTGAAACCGTCAAGCCTCGTCTCATCAAGCCTTGATTAAAGCTATATTTTCAACCCTTGAACTTGCAATATGAAGCCCTAAATATTGAACCTTCAAGCTTTTATTCCTTGAAGTGCGAACCTCCACCGTTCACCCTTAAGCCCTTAACCTTGAACCATGAAACTTTTCGACGTGAATCTTGGACCTTATGTTTTACAATCCTTGATTATCTACAGTATGGCGATGAGTTCGAAACATCGTAAAAGCACTTGTGCGGTATACCTTGAAATATAAATATTCAAAGCTGAAACTTCAGGATTTGGCGAGAAGATCTGAACCGTCAAACTGTGGATCTTCAAAACTTGAACAGTATTGCCTTGAGCCCTTCATACCGGCTTTAAAAACACGATTCGAATTTTCGACCAACATTACACATTCGGCCTTGTGGCACAGGTGCGCCACACAGTGGCTAGGGGCGCTTGCTTGACCTTGAAAAGTTTTTTCCCCCGTCCCCTTCTTTCCAGTGGTGGTCCGAATCCATGTGTCTCCCAGGCGCGGCTCTCTGGATGTCTGTCTTCACTGGTCTCCACATTCGTTTGTCTCCCAGTCTGGCTGGTTGCGTCTGGCTCTCCGGATGCCCCCTCTCCCTTCATTTGTCTCCCGTGGCTGGTGGTGCCCGGCTCTGCGGATGTCTGTCTTCACTTGTAGCCGGAGACTCTTTGGATGTGGCTGGTGGTGTCCGGCTTTCCGGGTGTCTGTCTTCACCTGTCGCCCTTCATCTGTTTCCCCGTCTGGCTGGTGGTGTCCGGCTCTTTGGATGTCTATGTTCACTTGTCTCCCTTCATGTGTCTGTGGATGTCTGTCTTCAATTGGCTCCCTTCATTTATCCTGGTGTGGCTGGTGGTGTCCGGCTCTCCGGATTGTCCTCCTTCATCTGTTTCCCGGTCTGGCTGGCGGTGTCCGGCACTCCGGATGTCTGTCTTCAGTTGTCTCCCTTCATGTGCCTCCCTGTTTGGCTGGTGGTGCCCGGCTCTCTGGATGTCTGTCTTCAATTGCCCCCCTTCATTTGCCTCCCAGTCTGGCTGAAGTGCCCGGCTCTGTGGATGTCTGTCCTCGGTTGTCTTTTCCCCAAACAGTTCATTGTTGCGTTTCCCTATTCTCTTAAATATGTACCAGGCGCTGTCCACATGGTGGTGTCCGGCTGTCCCAATGTCTCCAATTAATTTGTCCCCCCATGTGGCAATTCATTTAGTGTCCAGCTCCCGGTGTCTCCAGTTCATTTGTCCCCCCCCTTGTAGCAATTCATTTGTTTCCCAGTCTGGTGGTGCCCGGCTTTCCAGATGTCTCCAATTCATTTGTTTCCCCATCCAGCAATGCTTCCCAGCTTGCCTAGTGACTAGTGGTGCCCGGCTCTCCGCATATCACCAAATAAATCATTTGTCTCATTTTGTGGCATTTGTTTCCCAGTCTGGCTGGTGGTGTCCGCCTACCCCTGTGTCCCCCATTCCGTTCCCCCTGTGGCATTTCATTTGTTTCCCAGTCTGGCTGGTGGTGTCCGGCTCTCCCACTGTCTCCCATTCATTTGTCTCCCCTTGTAGCAATTCGTTGGTCTCCGAGTCTGGCTGGTGGGGGCCCGGCTCTCCAGATGTCTCGAATTCATTTGTTTCCCCATCTAGCAATTCATTTGTCTCCCAGTTTGGATGGTACTGCTTCGCTCTCCACATGTCTCCAGTTCGTTTGCTCCCCGCCTTGTAGCATTTCATTTGTCTCCCAGTCTGCCTGGTGGTGTCCCGTTCATTTGCCGCCCCATCTAGCAATTCATTTGTTTCCCAATCTGGCTGGTGGCGTCGCGCTTTCGCTCGTGGTGTCCGGCTCTCCGGATGTCTCCGATTCATGTGTCTCCCATCTAGCAATCCATTTCTCTCCCAGTCTGGCTGGTGGTGTCCGACTGTCCCAATGCCTCCAAGTCATGTGTCTCCCCATCTAGGAAGCCATCTGTCTCCCAGCCTGGCTGATGCTGCCCACCTCCCCGGATGTCTCCAATTCATTCGTCTCCCCATGTAGCAATTAATTTGCCCCCATCTCGCAAACCATTTGTCTCCCAGTCTGCCTGGTGGTGCCCGGCTCTCCAGATGTCTCCAAGTCATTTGCCCCCCAATGTGATGTAGCAGTTCATTTGTGTCCCAGCCAGACTGTGTTTGCGTGACTCTCCCGATGCCTCCAATTCATGTGCCTCCTGATCTAGCAATGCATGTGTCTCTCAGTCTGGCAGGTGGTGTCCAGCTCTTCGGATGTCTCCAATTCGTGTGTCGTCTCTTTTAGCAATTCATTTGTCTCACAGTCTGCCTCATGGTTTCCGGCCCCCCGCGTGTCTCCAATTCTTTTGCGTCCCCTTGTAGCAACTCATATGTCTCCCAATCTGGCTGGTGGTGTCCCGCTCACCGGATGTCTCCAGTTCATGTGTCACCCCATCTAGCAATTCATTTGTCTGCCAGTCTGGCTGGTGGTGCCCGGCTCTCCAGATATCTCCGATTCATGTGTCGCCCAATGTAGCAATTCATTTGTCTCCCAATCTGGTGTTCCGGGGTCTCCCGATGTCGCCGATTCATTTGCCCCATCTAGCAAATCATTTGTCGCGCAGCCTGGCTGGTGGTGTCTGGCTCTCCGGATGTCTCCAATTCTTATGTCTTCCCATCTATACATTTGTCTCCCAGTCTGGCTGAATTCATGCGTCTCCCAGTCTCGCTGGTGGTGTCCGGGTCGCCCGACGTCTCCAATTCATCTGCCTCCCCAACTAGCAATTCATGCGTCCCGGCGTCTGCCATGGCTGGTGGTGCCCGGCTCTCCTGATGTCTCTAGTTTCACTTGCTACCCCATCTAGTAATTCATTTGTCTCCCAATCTGGCTGGCGGTGTTGGCCTCTTCTAATGTCTCCAATTCATTTGTCTCTGCAATCCACACTTTACACTTTACACTCCGCACTGCGCATTCTACAGTCCGCGCTTCGCACTCTACACTTTACATTCCACACTCTACACTTTACACTTCACGATTTACACTTGGCACCCCACACTCTAATTATTAACTTGGCACCCCACACGCTACAATTTACAGCAACGCTCCACACTCTACACTTTACACTCCACGCGCTACACTTTACACTTTACACTCCACACTCTACCCTTTACACTTTACACTCCGCCCTTTTCCCACCTCACACTTGACAGTCCACACCCTACACTTTACTCTGTGCTTTTTCACTTCACGCTTTACACTTGGCACTCCGCAGTCTACACTTTACACTCCGCACTGTACACTTTGGACTTTGCACTTTGCACTCCCCACTCCACACTCTACACTTTGCACTTTACACTTCACACTTTCCACTTGACACCCCACACTCTACACCTTACACTTTACGCTTCCCACTCCTCACTCAGAACTCTACGCACTACACTATACACTTTACATGTGACACTGCACGCTCTACACTCTACACTTTACACTTCACGCATTACACTTTACACCACGCGCTCCACACTCTACCCTCTGCACTTTTTACTCCACACTCTACACTTTACACTCCATACATTAAACTTGACGCTCCACACCCCACACTTTACACTTTACACTCCACACTCTACACTCTATACTTTACACTTTGCACTTTACACTCCACGCTTTGCACTTTACACTCCACACTTTACACTTTACAGCCCGCACTCTGCACTCCACACTCTACGCCCCAAACTCTACACTCTACACTCTACACATTACACTCTGCACTTGACACTGCGCGCTCTACACTTTGCACTCCACACTCTACACTTTACACACCGCACTTCACACTGCGCACACACTTTACACTTGACACTCCACACTCTACGCTTTACACTCCACGCACTACACTTTCCATTCCACACTCTGCACTTTACACATTACAGTTGACAGCCCACACCTGACACTATACGCTTTACACAGTACAAGACTTCAGACTCTACACTTCACACTTTGCACTTCATATTTCACCTGAAACTCCACACTTTACACTTTGAACTTCGCTCTTGACACTGGACACTCCGCACTCTACGCTTCACACTCCATGCCCTAAACTTTACACTTGACGCTCTGCGCTCTACATTTTACACTCCACACTCTACACGCTACACTTCACACTCCACTCTCTATCTACACTTGACACCCCACGCCCCACACTCTACACTACACTTTACACTCCACACTCTACACTTCACACTGTACACTGTACGCTCCAGACTTTACACTTTACAGTCCACACTCTACACGTTACACTTTCACACTTTACACCTTACACTTCACTCTTCACACTTTACCCTTGAGGCTCTGCACTTTACACTCTACACTCTACACTTTAAACTCTACACGTCACACTCTACACTGGGCACTTTACATTTCACAATTTACATACACCTTACACTTGACATTTTACAGTCTACACTTTGCACTCCACACCCTAGACTTTTCACTTCGCAAGTAGCGTCTTCAACGCACAATCATGCTGTGCCGAAGATACGCAAAGGGCCGCAGCCACGGGTTGCACCATCTATGAGGTTTTCCTCCCTATGTCTTTCGACACCTGTACCACTAACATACGTGTGAGCATTCGGGTTCGTGGGCTGCATCTTGTTCGACATCTCAACTTTCAAAAATGCTCCGAGCATGTGGCGCTTTTAGCATTTTGACTTCAAAATGTGCTTCCAGCCACAACGGCGTGCGCTTTTTGAGCATCTCGACTTCCAAAATGCTCTGAGAATGTTGTGCTTTTCGCATGTCGATTTCGAGACGCGCTTAGCGCCACACATTGCTGAACACCTCAGCTTCCAAAAGCGC